GAAGGAAGGAAGGAAGGAAGGAAGGAAGGAAGGAAGGAAGCTCAGAACCAGTTTCTTGTGTAGAAGACCCAATAGTTACTTAGACCAATAAGTGAACTTGAGGCTTTTATGGGAGTCACAGGGATTATTTCTTTTAATCTACCGGGTAACCAAAATGCTCTGAATGGATTAGTGTTGCTTAAAAGATTACAAAAATGTAAAAACAGTAAAAAATAAGTGAAAACAATAAAACAGTAAAATGCAAATAATACAATAAGGTACAGTTTGTAGCACAGGAAATAAAAAAGCCACTATTCCAGTGAGGTCTGAACCCTTAAAATCAGATTGAATGTAAAACTTTACAAATGCCTGGGAAAAGAGGACTAGCTTTGCCTGGTGCCTATGCCAAGCATGCCACCCTAGAGTTACCATTATATTGGTGAGGTCCAACTGAGAAGACTTTTGTGTCCACCTCTATATGTCACTTGGCAAACAGCCCTGACAAGATATAGAAGGGAGGAGTATTTTGGCCTTCTGCTGGAAGAAGGCCTTCTTGTCTTACTTGACAAGTGTTTCAGCAGTGAATTTTCACACAACATATCTAAAATCTCAGAGCTGGAACCCAGTATTTATTAACTTGAGAATAAACCACAGTAAATATATGTGGGCTTACTTCCAAGTAAATATGGATAGGGTTCCATGCTCCATTATGCATTCCAGTCCTATTTGTGACACCTATCTACATTTTCATTTTTCCTTGTTTATCTAAGGTATATTTTCTATCTTTCTTTCTTTCAGGTATCAAATCCACACAGGTCTTCAGCATTCTGTCATACGGCCCACTCAGCCAAACTGCCTGCCTCTGGACAATGTGACACTACCTCAGAAACTGAAAGAAGCAGGTTATTCGACCCACATGGTTGGCAAATGGCACTTGGGGTTTTATCGCAAAGAGTGTATGCCAACTCAGCGTGGGTTTGATAGCTTTTTTGGCTCACTTTTGGGCAGTGGTGACTATTATACCCATTACAAATGTGACAGCCCCCGAATGTGTGGCTATGACTTATACGAAAATGACAATGCTGCTTGGGATCATGACAATGGAATGTATTCTACTCAGATGTACACTCAAAGAGTGGAACAAATCTTAGCCTCCCACAACCCCAGGAAACCTGTATTTTTATATATTGCATACCAAGCTGTTCATTCGCCGCTTCAGGCCCCCAGCAAGTATTATGAACGTTACAGATCAATCAGTAATATAAATCGGCGCAGATACGCTGCCATGCTGGCATGCCTGGATGAAGCTATCAACAATGTGACACATGCATTAAAGCAATATGGTTATTATAACAACAGTATTATAATTTACTCTTCAGACAATGGAGGGCAGCCAACAGCTGGTGGGAACAACTGGCCTCTCAGAGGAAGCAAGGGTACTTACTGGGAGGGAGGGGTTCGAGCAGTTGGCTTTGTTCATAGCCCTTTACTAAAAATCAAGGGGAGTATATGCAAGGAGCTTATACACATAACGGACTGGTTTCCAACACTGATTACCTTAGCTGAAGGACAGATTGATGAAAATACCCAACTGGATGGCTATGATGTGTGGGAGACCATCAGTGAAGGCAGGCGGTCTCCAAGAATAGATATTTTACATAATATTGATCCCATATACACAAAAGCCCAAAATGGTTCTTGGGCAGCTGGCTTTGGAATATGGAACACTGCCATTCAGTCAGCCATCCGTGTAAACCACTGGAAACTACTAACAGGAAATCCAGGATACGGTGACTGGGTCCCTCCTCAGTCTTTTAGTAATGCTGGCCCTAATCGCTGGCACAATGAACGGGTTTCGTGGACAGCTGGTAAAACTGTGTGGCTGTTCAATATCACTGCTGATCCTTATGAACGAGAGGACCTTTCTAGTAAGTATCCAGGTATAGTTAAGCAGCTGCTGCGAAGGCTTTCCCAGTTCAATAAGACAGCTGTGCCTGTTCGCTACCCACCTAAAGACCCCAGGAGCAACCCCAATTTGAATGGAGGAGTGTGGGGCCCATGGTTTAAGGAGGATAAAAAAAAGAAGAAATCAAATAAAAATAAACCGGGTAAAAAGCAAAAGAAAACCAAAAAGAAATCTAATAGGCAGAAAGGACATTCCTTGAACTGCCTTTTAAGTCAATAATTTCAGCTGGAGTTCTATGCTGCAATTCTAATCATACTTACCTTCTTCAAAAGCATTTACAGGCTTCAAGGTACATGTGTGTAGCCTCAGGATGTCATTGCTAAAGTGAAAGTAAAATGTTCTCCAATATTTGTAATTGAGATATCAACACCGGAATGTCATTTCTGCACTCCTGCCGGTTTTGTTTGGGCTTCCATTGGAACAGGAGGATCCATGTGTAAGATGTGGTTAGCGTCAATGCCTATGCTGAGAATTATAAAGTCTTCTGGACAGGTGAGATGTTTTTGCACTCATGACTAAATGAACCCTAATCTCTAGGACACTTGGCTATATGGTTTTGCATTCAGACACATCTGTACATTTAATTAGTCATGTGAAATCTCCACTGGATCAAAGAAAACAGACCAAAAAGAAAAAGGCAAAATGTTAAAATGAGTTTGGGTTTATCTCCTAATTTTGATCCAATGAAGCAGAATCAGACATTAAGTTACCAGAGTAACTTGAATAAATTGTGAAAAGGCTGCTTTAAATTTTGCCTGCCTTTCAGCTGAAAAGGATTTTCTTTTTCCCTTCTAGAATATGCCAGGCTACAATTCCTTCCGATAAAAATAAGCTATATACAAAACTGCTTGTATATGGTTATAATTACAAAAATATGCAAATTGAAATCCTGGACTGGATTATTTGTGCATTAGTACATTCAAATTAATACAGAATCCACATATAACTTTACAAAGAATGGCAGTCATGTAATATACCAAGTGCTGCTGAGGAGTGTCCTCTATGGAAACTGAGTACCTATGATGTCTGATATCTAGTATTATTAGTGAAATCTGAACATGGCACATTTTAATTGAAATTGATGATTCAAGATTCAAATGCAACAAGATTCTATTTGAATCTGTTAGAGATTTAATTCAATAAATAACCAGACAGGCATCTAGTACTAACCACAGCACAAAGATAAAAAAACTTGCATTATGATGTCACTATACAAACCCCAGTCTTTCATACTTGGCATCCCAACATGTAAGTCATGTGGTTTGTACTGCAACATCACATGTGTTTCATTATTTGCCTCCATGCCAATGCGTCTATTGTCATGGAGAAAATCTAAGTAGTTGCTAAGAGTCAACACTGACTTGATGACATATAACCCATCAATCCATGCCTCTATTCAGTCATAAATTGTAAGTGGCAGGCATCAAAATGCCAACAGTTTGTTCATTTGGGGGGCAAAATGAGATGAAAATCTATAGATCAAGTTTTCACTCAAATAAATGCTTGAAATATTTTTATACACCTCTTTAAAGCCAAAGATAAGAAAATGATAGCATAGTAGTATCCCCATTGACTATCCAAGAATGTATAGATAGTTATTTATATATTTATTTTTTATTTATTTGATTTATAATTTTTCTTTTTACTGTTGTAAATATTCAAGATAGCCAAACTATTATATCCTATTTCAATTAAAAATAAATATTTGAGGCAACGTTGCTAGTCCAACATTGTTTTAAAAATAGAAATATATCACTATCACATATATAATGTACTATGATAAAATGATATAAAAATAGTTTGGATATATATGCAATAGTTTAACAGCAAGCGCATTATTTTAGAGTTCAAGCAGTAAAGAAGGCTGAGCTAAGACAAGATATAGTAAAGATAGGCAATAGCAGAAAGAAGATGTTTTATTTTGGCTTTTGCCTATAAATCAATAAAGATTTTAGTTTGAGGGGAAAGGAGAAAATGAAAAGAAATAAAGGTGAACATAAAGGAATTGAAAAAATAGCATACAAACTGGATACAGAGATTAATGGATTATACTACAAAATAGATTTGTCTGATAAATGGAATGATCTAATAAAAGGATGCAGAAAGAAGATGTTTTATTTTGGCTTTTGCCTATAAATCAATAAAGATTTTAGTTTGAGGGGAAAGGAGAAAATGAAAAGAAATAAAGGTGAACATAAAGGAATTGAAAAAATAGCATACAAACTGGATACAGAGATTAATGGATTATACTACAAAATAGATTTGTCTGATAAATGGAATGATCTAATAAAAGGATGAGGATAAATGGTTGTGAATTTAGGGAAACATAGAGGATCACAAAAGAAAAGCAGATAAAAAAGAGGAGCAGAATAAATCTGAGTCTCCCTTCAAGCAAACCTATCTAATCAGTTCTATCAGAAGAGGGAAACACAGACAAGAGCAGCAAGGTCATGTCACTATCAGTTCATCACACTATTCAGCTTCTCTTTTCAGCTTTGAAAAACTGGAAGAGTGTTTGAAGGTCTTACAAAGGCAAAATTTTCATTAACTCTCTTACACCTTTAAAGTCACTCTCTAATGATTTGAAAGCACCTGATTCAACTTTATTTCAATCATTCTGAAGATTTGAACAACATACTCAATATGAAGGAGTCATCAGATTTCCTAAGTACATTATAACATTTGCAGCTTTGTACTATTGGCCAAACCCAACATGCAGAGCATTCCGAACACAACGGCATTCCTAAATCACTGTTTCCCATCAGTTTCATAAATCTCATGGATACAACATAAGCAAAGAAAGCTTGCAGCTAGGAGAGCTATATACTTGTTTTATAGCCATCATGTGAATCCATTTGGCAGAATTTAGCCACAAATATATCTTACTAACTTATAAGGGAGTTGCTTATATGTAAGGGCAATGGCTAAAGGCTAAGCTCTCTTGAACCAGATATGCAATCCAGATCTAATCTTGCTTAGAATAGGCAAGAATCCATGAATATAAACTATTCTGCAACTGGCAATAATCAAATAGCAGTTGTAGTCCTAGCTATTTAATGGAGGAACATTGTTTTGTAAAGTGAAATATAATTTTCAGAAAGATTTCAGGATTGGATACAGTACTGAGCATTGATTTTGCCTGTGGATGATCTCTTCCAGGACCAGGATGGTGCAACTTTCTTGGTTCTTCTTGATCTCTTAGTGGCTTTCAATACCTTCCAGACTGGTTTGGGGGTTAGGAGTGGGGCACTGTGTTGCAATGGTTCTCCTGTTCCAGGGTCAGTTCCATTTGATGCTGAGAAGGAGGGAAAGATTGAACCCAAGGTCTTCACTTTGTGGGATATCTCATAGCTGTTACTTACCCTGATCTTAGTTAACATCTACAAATGGCTGCTGGACATGATCATTGAATGGCATAAGATTGGGTAACAATATGCCAGTGATACCCACTTGTATATCTCAAACCATGCCAACCATCTTCTGGATCAGTGCCTGGAGGTTATCAGAGTCTAGATGGGGAAGAAAAGGTTTAGGTCCAACACTAGCAAAACTGAATGACTCTGGATTTAGGGATCCTCCATTTCCAGGGTCTGCCCAGTTTACTGGTATGCAGTTTTGGTGTCCTAGACTCACTTTATGAGCAAGTGGCAGCTGTGGCTAGAAAAACATTTCCACAGATTTATTTTGCGTACCAATTGTACACTTTTCCTGCATCAGAAGACCCTTCTTGTAATCTCTCATGCCGTAGCCATCTTTCACTTTAACTATTTCAACACAGTCTACGTGAGGCTGCCCTTGAAGACCACTCAGAAGCCACTGCTGGTTCAGGATGCAGCAGTATGAGTAGTTAGTAATATGCCCACGTGACACCTCTATTCCACAAACTTTGCCAGTTGGATTTCACATGCCATTCAAGGTGCTAATTGTTATCTATAAAGCCCTTCATGGCTTAGAGCCTGTATATTTACAGGGCAGCCTTTCTCCAGTTGTTTCTACCTGTCACCTGTCCTATAAGATCTGGCACAGTCAGCATGCTTCAGCTCCCATTAACAAGACAACATCAACTTAATGGACCTTGGAGGTATACCTTCTCTGTCACTCCTACCCCTGGAACAGCATTACCCCATTGTCTGTATAGTCCTGATCCTGCTCTCCTTTAAGAAAGTTTTAAAAAATTGCAACATGTTTTTGATCCTCTTTGTATACTCCCTTAAACTACTTGCAGTAATGTAGCCAAACAAACAAACAACAAAAGCAAAGAAATAAACAAGGCTCACAAATAAGGAAGATAGGTTTGCCTTTCTAGCAGCTGCTGTCAGCCTATTGCAAAACCAGGATGCATCTTCAAAACTAGGTTCCATCCGATTATTCCCTAACCCATATAGAGCTCACTCTCTAGTATGTTCTGGTGTGAAAGAGCTGACCAAGGACAGAAGCCTGGATGAAAGGTGGTTTACCTTGCAAAAACAGGACAAGATAGGGAAGATAAGCAGACTGCATCTTGTGGCACAAACATGACATAATTTACTGTCCATCACAATAAGTCCAAATATTTTGGCTTTGTGGTTATAGATGGTTAGTTTGTTAATCCATTGCTATCCTTAAGAGAATGTTGTTTCATGTAGCTATATTTAAAAGTACAGTACTGTAAATCAGAAAGATCTGTAAAAAGACTTACTCAGGTGCATCTCTTCATTATGTGCTTGTCTCCAGATTTCTCAAGGTAATGATTTGACTGTGTAACCAGTTAACCTTGTTTTTGTGGGAAAAAGCTATATAAACATAATGTATATATCTATTAAAATAGTTTATTTTTATGAAAATTAATAGAGTACTCTTATGTCACTGACTTTCCAAGTTTTGAGATGGCTTTATAAAATATGAAAAAACAGACTGGACTGTCTGCCATTTTGCTTTAGACATAAATGTATCTTCCCCTTCCCCACTCTAGTCACTATAAAACATACAGTGTTACATAATAAGCAGAGTCCAGGACAGATAGTCTGGGACTTTCCAGATGTTTTGGATCACATTCTTAAGTCTTTCTTGCTATTAGTTGTGCTGGGACCTGGTGCAAAACATTTTGGAGGTGCACCTAATTCAGATCAGTTTATTTATTTCTTAGATTTATATCCCACCTTGATTTTTGTAGAACTCCAGCCAGTGTACACAATGCTGCTGCCTCCTATTTTTCCTGCAACAACAATCCTATGAGGTGGGTTGGGCTGAGACAGTGTGACTGGGCCAAAGTCCCCCAGCCAGCTTCTGTGGTGAAGGGAGCACTAGAACTCACTGTCTCCTGGTTCTGGTTCAGCATCTTAACTACTATACCAAACTGGCTCTTCAACACATATCATGAATCAAGAAGCTAACATAATAAGTTTAGACATATCCCCGTGTGCGTGTCACACACTCATGCTATCTTTGTATTTAACCATGCTTAAAATATAATCTGCTGGCTAACCTGCATTTGTATAGAGATGTATAAAGCAAATTAATTGCATGTATATATGTATATATTTTAATTACCTATATAAACATGTATCTCAAATGCTCAAATGAGTCTGGACTTGGTCAAGTGAGATCAGTGTAGAAACTACCTAAGAGTCATACACAAAGCACACCTGAAAAAGCAAAGAATCCACCTGCATGATATCCCAACCATCTTGTGGTAGCTGCTCTGCTACTCCACATCACTGCCCTGAAAGAGAAGTGCAGGTCTGTAGCCATGGAAAAATAACCTACTGTGTCTTAAGGTTTTTGGGAGGAGAAATGTTAGCAACAACTGTATGTAATGTGCAGTTATAGTGAGGGATTAATTTTAGGGTGTAAAACAAATACTAAAAATTTACTTTCATTGTAAAGGGACATGGTGACAGACATTAAAACAGCCAAAACCTTTAATTGGAACACTTTCAAATGAATGTTGTTCAGTTTCAAGTTTCTACCAGGATTATAATAGCTTTTATTTTCCAAGTCCTGCAAAACACACAATTTGCAAATATTCTGTCACAAGTATATTCAGTATAGCATGTGTTTAGTGAACTTCCTATTTCTATAATTGTCCATGATAAATTTTGTATATACTTAAGTATATCCTTAAACTGCAGCTTATAAATACTCATTTTAGTAAATATCTTGTAATGTCAGCTTAAAGTTATGTCAAACATGGGATACTACAAACTGCCTGGTGTGGAATTTATACATTTTGCATAAAAGGTTAATTGTATTAATTACAGAAATCCACACGTGCTCAATTTTTTTTTTTAACAATGTACCTTTGAGATCTCTTGAAGAAAAAAAAATTGGCACAGCCTTCCCCAATGAAGGGTGGGTTTCTGGACCACATACTCCCAATATCGGAAAGCATGAGATCAGAAAAAAATGATCTGTTAGTGTCATAAGGAGTAGGGCTGAAGCAAGCAATGGGCAAGACCCTTTTGCTTTTCTTTCTGATAATTTACAGTAATGTTTCTCAACCTTGCCAACTTTAAGATGTGTGGACTTCAACTCCCAGAAT